CTTCTGGCACATTCTCGTTCTCGTTCCCTTTGCTTAATCATTCCCAGTCTTCCCAGCAGCAAAAAATCCGAGAATCGATACGAAAAAGGAAAAATAAGTGGATGTAATGTGGATTTTTGTACGTTTACCGATTCCACACGAATCCGTTTTCCCACTAAAGTGTGTGGCAGAAGCGTTTGTACAGACAAGTACCGAGACGTTTTTGGCTGTTTATCTGAAATTTGTCTGATTGCAGTTTTCATTCAATACGCTGTCCTTCTGCACTTCACAGTTTCTTTTTCATGGTTCAAAAAATTTAAATAAACAGAGGAAGCGCCAGACGGAACTCGAATCCGGCACCTTCTGGCAGCCACAAATAGTGGCATGCTCCTCTAGACGCTCTGCTACTGCCGACAACGTACATACCGGATACGAAAATGAACGAATATTGTAGTCGTTTTCTTTTCGCTTCCAGATAGGGAAAATTGTTTGAGACCGCACTGTTGGCAAAATTTACATTTCTGGCTGGGTTAATGTATGGTTACCACAAGTCTTCTTTTTTGTTTGTTTACTTTTTACTTTATACAAGTTTCTTACATGCGTACATACGACTATTTTTAATGTATTCTCAATGGTTCTGGTTCTTCAAGTTCCCAGCTGTATTTACACACAAACACAATTGTATGTATGTATGTATGTATATATATTCATATGCTCATCACAGTGCCACGATGACGTAATTGATCTACAAGTAATGAAACTATATAAAAAAATTATCTACAAACGTATGTACACCCACTAGAAAAAAATTTCCATACAAAGATTTTTTTTAATAGTAATATTTTCGTTAATTCTTCATAAAAATTTTAGTTCATTCTACATTACATACAAATAATTTAAATATAGGTTTTAAACTTTGTTTAATTTTATAAAAATTTGCCAATATTCAGTAGAATTTCAAAATTTTTTTCGGAATTTTTAAAATTCGGTTCATTTTGAAACTTTTTTCGACAGTGTTGAGCATTTTGTTGCATATAAAAAAATGTTGGAAAATACATCCTTTGTATGGAAGAAAATGTGTGAGACTGTCAGCAAAAAAATCCAAAAATTAACGTGCCTTTTTAGTAACTTCAAACTGGCACATTTTAATACTAAAATTTAATACACCCCGTGGCAAACGATGGCACATCAATATTTTTACCAGTTTTGACTGATTGATTTGATGATTTTTTAGAAACTTGAGACTTGCACTATATTATACTATTAAAATTAAAATGCATGGAATTGGGCTGAAAAATTTTGTGGAATTTTTATAATTTTTGTTCAAAGTCTAAAATTAATATTTATATGGCATTTGTTAGAGCCATACTTTTACATAAAAATAATTAACCTTAAAAAATCAAAAGAAAAGTAGTCAAAACTGGTAAAAATGTTGATGTGCTAACGTTTGTCGCGGGGTGTAGGCTTTAAATATAAACCTACACACGAAAAAAATTGTCTAAAAATTCAGACAAAAAAGTTTGAAATTTTGTTGAATATTTAGCAAGCTTTTTCAAATTACAAAGTTGAAGCTTATTTATAACAAATTAACCAATTTTTTGTATGAAAAATATGAATACATATTTTAAAAGGCCTCTGTATGGAAAATTTTTCTAGTGGGTGTTTGTATGAATAATGCTTATCATAACTAACCGACACACACATATTGACAAGTTTTGGCGATTCAGTTTTTTTTTTTATTTTAATTATTATTTTTTTTTATCAAAACATAGTTCATTCTATAATATAATAAATATATATAATATATAAAAACCATATGAATCCAAATTTAAAATCAACACAGAATTGAGAAAAAACATAAAAAAATTCCTAAAATCTTCACAATTTTTTTCCGGACTTTCAGAAAATTTTTTGATATACAGTATTTTTAAGCCAATTCAATTATAATTCATATCATAAAGTGCAGGTTTGTAGTCGATACAAAATATCGTTGATTTTTGGCATTTTTTCTTTGTTGACGGTGTCACTTATATTTTCTTTTATACGAGCATTTTATTACTATTACTCATATTTTCTTCTATACGAGTAATACAAATATTAGGGTGGTCCAAAAATGAAGGTTGGAGGGGAGGGAGAGAAGTAAAGTCGGAATTTTAATGCTCTCACCCCTTAGGATTGTTCTAAATCGAAAAAATATAGCCCTGTTTTTTTTTTAGTTCGAAATCAAAAAATATTTTTTTCAAAGTTTTCCATGTATTTTATATGCGAAAAAACCATTTCTCGTGGAAACATTACAGAATTCTTGAAAATCAATATTTTTCGATCGGAAAACTTTGCTTCTCTTGAAGGGACTGGCAATAATAATACCCAATTGTTTATTTTACCATTTTTTAATATTTTCAATATTTTTGGGTCCCCCATTTTTTAAATTAAAAAGCTTGTATTTATGTAAATGATTTATACTAAAATATTAAATTTAATTCTAATTAAAAATTCGCGCTTTTTTTTTAAATGAAGAAAGTGTGAAATTTTGAGGAAACTTTGTAGTTTTTTTTTAATTCTTTTGGTTATAAATGAACTGTACATATTTTTAATTAAGTATTAGGAAAAAATATATAGTCAAAACTTGTGAATATGTGAGTGTCGAATAGTTATGATAAGCATTATATAAATATGAAAAAGTATATACAGATATGTACATATGTATGTATATATATGTGTGTATATACATATGTACATACATATAAATGTGTATGTAGTAATGCGGTTTTTTCTTGTTTACATCAAAAGTTGTTATATCAAAAAGTTGCTTCAAAAATAGCACAGACAGGAACTTGACGTGGAGCTAGCTAAATCCAGGAGGTGGGATAATTGTCACTCCCATTTTAGTAATGCCCACGTTTTTTGGGTTTTTCACGCTGTGCATTTTTTCTGTTGCTTTTATTTTAGCAATGATTTTTTGATGGACTATTTGATGTGGTTACATGTACATAAAGATGTTTTATGTATAGATATGTACATACACATGTAGGTAGACCTCATGGCTAGACGAGTTAATGTTAGGTTTTGTATGGTGATGTCCTTTGATAAACCAATTTCAACTTTTTCGCAAAGGAAATAAGAAAATTCTACTTCTGTGAAGAAGTCAACTAGATAGCGAAAATCCTAATGATTATGTGTCCATGTATGTATATATATTTGGTCTGGAGGTATTTTCATGTAAATTTTAATATTTTTTTCGAAATGTTTTTGCGGAAATCTTGAAATATAATAAATTGTATAATTCCGGTGAAAATCCGCCACTTTTTTGGTGAGGCACCCTAATGTATGAGTCCTTCTCTCATTCACCCATTGAGGGATTGGCACGTATACCTCCCACATATCCGAGTATATGTATAGTTCTACTACCCAAAAGGCGACGCACAAATTCTACCAGAAGGTGTTCCAGCCCAAAGTGAGTTAGGGCATGGAGAACCGCCTCCGGCAGAATATTATTGAAGGCCCTTTCGATATCTAGGATCACGCCTAATGCCAAACCCTTAAATGATAACACTTTTTCAATGGTGCTAACAATACAATGAAAAAGATGTGTATCCCCACACTTGCCTTTCCAGTAGGCATGCTGACAGCTAGATAGTTTATTTATGTCAATTTCCTGTCGGATCTACAAGTCCAGTAGTATTTTCATAACCTTGAGAAAGAAAGAAACAAGTAAGTAAGTTCGAATGACGCTTGGCTTCCCTTGGGAATGAACACAACCCTGAGTATGAAACTAAGTCTGAAACAAGCCTTATCAACTAGCTTTGCATTGTAGCACTCGTTAAAAGGTAGTTGGACGGCTGTTCATTGCCCTAAGTGCAAAGTTAGTGTGAGAAAAATTCTACAAAGTGTAAGAGCACAGGAATTTCCGAAAATTTCCACAAGAATTTTCACAGAATTGGGAAATCATTTGGTTAAGCAGTCTTTTATTTTTATTTTGTTTGCTCCTATTCACTTTAGACATTTTTTGTTCTTCACACTTTTGTGCTTTCCACTCGTAAATTTTTGTCCAAAACCAAATTTTCGGGCGCCAAAAATTCTACGTCATGCGCACATTCATAAGTATGTGCATTAGAGTGGAGCAAAAAAAAATGTATTTCTAGTTTCTAATTGAACCGTTTCACATTGAACCGTGTTAAACCGTTTTCCGATCGGTTAATATTTACGGTCGCCCTAAGAGCCTTAAAGTTCCGAAAAATCTCTAAAATTATGGTTTTTTATCTTTTGTTTTAAAGATTTTCCAGAAAGATTTTGAGTATGCAGGGTGGTGTAATAAGGTGAAAGTTTCAATTTGCTAAAAAATCGCAATGATAAAAAAAATTGTTCAAACATACTTTGTGCGGAAAAATTGCGTGGCACTTTTAGCAAACAAAATTACCAAAAATCAATGCGATTTATAGGCCTACAAAACTGCATAGTCCAAATCTTTCTAGAAGTTCTTTTAAAATAAATACATATAGCAAAAAATAATTTGAGTGAATTTTCGAAACTTTAAGGCTCATGGGCTACCTTAAATATTACTCGATCGGAAAACCGTTTAACGCGATTGAATGTGATCATGCTACGCAACTTTTCCGCACTGTTATAATTTCGAAATCGAAAAGGTTTTTTTTGCTCCGAACTAATGTACATACAGAAATATGTATATCCTTTACTTTTGTATCCTTTACATTCGCCTTTGTTGACTTGCGTTCCATCAATTAATTGACTGCGTTTGATTAAGTCGCTGCGTGGCTTCCATTGGCCAAAATTTACTCATACTTACTAATTAACTTGTGTCAACAGTTGGCTAACCGCTACTTTTGCCAATACAAGGGGTTTGGCTATCACAAAAAAGAACAATTTTATTCTTCGTTTTTGTGTGTACACTTGTAATTTTTAGCCAAATATAGATAGCGCGCAAAAAAATGTGTCGCCAGTGATGTCGGCGCTGCTGAGTTCAACAGTTGCTCCTTAGTCTTTCTATTTTAAGCTAAATAAAAATTACAAAAAATTTGTTAAATTTTTATGCAAAAAACTCCTAGAACCCATACTCACAAGCGGCATGTACATTTTCAGGAACAAGATGGGCGCTTACCCGGTTCACGACCCTCCAGCGCACCGGCGGAACCCAATGCCAAAGCAGCGCGCAAGGCTTCCAAAAAGATGGAGAAGGAGGCAAGGTGAGTGTAATACAAGAAATTTTTGTTAAGTACATAACAAAGAAATAATTCTCAACTCTCTATCCACCCCCCTCACAGACGACAAGAAAAGGAAGCCAGTCGCCGTGAGAAGGAGGCACGCAAGTTGGAACGTGAAACGGCGCGTCGTCAAGAGCGTGAGGCGGCCAAGCTGGAAAAACTCAATCGCAATATGGAGAAAATATCGCGCAGCACAGAACGTGTTAGTGGCACACCGCGCTCCGGTTCGCTGGAGCGACGCCGCAGCGGTGAAGACTCACCGGTGCTCAACCAGTCGACCGTGCACGGCATAGCGAGTCCCAATCGCCGACCCACCATATTCGATGTCTTTCGCCAGCGCGCCAAATCGGATGCCAA